AATCCAACCAATCATGGCTTTTCCAAACTCCGCCCACACACCAACTTCACCAATCACATTCAGGACAAACTCCGCCCACATCAAGACCTCTGTCAATCATGTTTTTGGACAAACTCTGCCCCCACAACAAGAAGCTCCCTCTATGTACTCCAACTTGAAGAACTTCACAGCTCTTGCTGTGTCAGGGAATCAAACCTTTTCGATGACTCAGATCACATCGTGTTCCAGCTGCTGCCAACAGGCAGGAGGTGTAGGAGCGTTAAAACCAAGACAAACAGACTAAAAACCAGCTTTTACCTCCCAGCACTGAGGACACTAAATTCAACAAAACACCACAGAGTGTGGACTGTGTAATAGCAGTGTGCAATATTCATGTGCAATTCTYGAAGTCGGCGTGATGTCATTCAGTCACGTGATTTCWGCCTCCATTTTTGTATGGGGAAAACTCATTGTGAGACYCYGTTACAAACTGTGTCAAAAGTAGAGACTTCAAACTATACAGCAGTTTTTAAATTGTGTCGATAGGTCAAGAGAAGGAAACCAGARTTACCATAAATAGYRTATCTTACTATTTTTTTTCTGAAAATGAACGTTCTATTTTGAAGCGCGTTGCAGCTGAAGGGACAAGGAAACACGTAATCTCATGGAAAAAACACCACTGTCCATCGWCAGTCTCATCTTTCTCTTAAACTGAAAAATATAACCCCTCAGACCTCCTTTTTGACTGAGGCTCAAAGTTATCTGAAAAAAATTTACAGGAAGAAGAAAATAAAAAGAGGCAAAATTTGATGGCGGCAATGAGAGCAGGACTTTATTAATTAGATCTGTGATTTTAACATGTTTGGATTTTATAGTTAGTTTGTAGTTTTGAGTGTTTACTCTTCATTTTAGCCAGTTTTAGTGTTTTGAATCAAAACAATGAGGCAATTCTTTTTAAACAAGGAGAAGCATGGAGGTCTGCAGAGAGAACGACAATACGTCTTATTTCTCTCCCCTCACTCTTGCAGTTAGAAAAAATAAATAGTTTATCTCTGGATATTTTTTTTTACGTGGGAAGTGCAGTCCTACAGCAAATTTTCACCATTTTTCCTATTTTCCACATGGAGGAACTCATCCTATTCCCCCCAAACCAATATGTCAGCCTTCATCTACAACATGGTCACGTGACAAAGTACCCGGCTGTTCGTCTTTGAGAGTAACTCCTTAAATGTTTAATAGTGTGTTGTGCTGTAAGACCTTTACTTTGTTGAAACTTGTAAATACTTTCTTTTATTGTCCTCCTCATATCCTGAACCCAGACAGAAACACCTCATTCTGTTGTACTTGTTACACAATAAAGATATTCTGATTCTCATTTTAAAAGTTGAGTACAGAATACTGACCCACCACCATGCGTACGTACACTCCTAGTGCTGACCTGACTTCATCAAAATAAACAAACAGGCAGTGATATACATACTGTATTATTTAATATATTTAACATATCCCCCACAACACAAAAACATGTACAATAGGTTGCCTTCAGGCCCAGGCCGCCCTTGAAAAAGAGATCTGAGATCTCAATGGGATTTGCCTGGTAAAATAACAGTAAATAAATAAAATAAAATAAAACAAGGTCATAATGTAATCTCATTGACTGAAAACTCTCATCTAATTTCACCATTTAAAATAACTTGTAATCTTAGCAGTTTGTATGCTTTTGCCATTCTTAGATTAAAAAGTTATGTAATAGAAAGGTAAAAGAGCTGCTGTGCTGCTTCAGATCCATGGCTGTCAGATCCTGGAGACGCTGTATAAACACAGCTGTGTGGGACTCCCTCCTGTACGCATGGCTTTAGAAAAGTAAGTCTTTTATTTTTGTGGACTGAGACATTTTAATGGAGACATGTTCATGTTTTTGTGCATGACACAACATGACTTCAGCAGTCTAATAGTTTGCTTCTTTTCTGATCATTCTTGATTAATTATTAATAGGTCATGAAGAATTAATGGTTATTTTAGCTTTTAAAGCTTTTTGTATTTAAAAGCTGCTGTAAAAAATGGACTTTATATTAATGAGCTCATGTAATAAACTGTATAACACTGAGATGCATAAAACACCAGACTGATTTGTGTGTTTCCCTCATGTGTTCTGCAGGATTCTGGCTGTGTGTCATGGTGTGATGTACAAGCAGCTAGCAGCTTGGATGTTGCACGGGCTGCTGCTGGATCAGAGCGAGGAGTTTTTTATAAAGCTGGGTCCGAGCGCAGGAGGTGCTGCTGCCAACCAGGATGAGGAGGAGGAAGACCTGGGGCTGGGAGGCTTGAGTGGGAAACAACTCAGAGAACTACAGGACTTGGTGAGAACTGCAGGGGACAATAATGTCTGTGTCCAAATTAAGGGACTGCGTCCTTCATAGGACCTGGTCTACGTAGGCCGGGCCCTTTGTCGACAGAGAAGACTGAAACAAAGTGGCTGAATTTAAAGGCTCTAGCTTTCAGCTTTGTTAAAAATAGATGGAAATTTGCTACATATTAATATATTATTATGATTAATGTAATAACTTAAGAAAACTAGTTAACAAGAATATTATTAAAGGGATTCCTGATTAGTTGTAACATTAGACTTTATTTGATAAACATATATTTTAACTGTAAAATAAAGACTGTAAAAATACTGTAGGCTGTTTAGTTT